CAACAATGGAAAAGGATGAACCACGATGGCGATTTTGTGGGTTCCATACAGATCGGTGGTCAGAACATATCTCTGTACGCGTCATCGGTGTGCCGACCATGAGAATCTCATTCTAGAAGCTGTTATCGGTAGCACACAACCTCAGCGCGAAGTGATTCGACCACTTGTGAAAGTAGGAGCAATTAAATAAAAAATGACAGTTGGACAAAAACCAACGAACGCGCTATAAAGAAATGTTTTGCCATCATACTGTGTCTAACAAGTTCCCGCTCAAATCCAAATGCGAGAACAAGTGTGCCGCGACGAGAGACGAGTCAATCTGGGTGATCTGATTCTCGCCCAGACTGATCTGTCTGACACAGTGCGAGGCGTGATTCGCGAGCCAGATGGATGTGGATCGGGTGAACAAGTTATCCCGCAAATCCACGAACTGAAGCTGGGGCATACGCGTTCGTTGGTCCAGTCGATCTGTGGAGAAAGCAGATTGATGGGGGGAACAATGATGAAGTGTCATTCTGCCTTTTCCCAAGTTGAATGTAGTAAGGACGTGAAAAATACCATAGTAGAATTGACATAATTATTTCGCATATACTGGTCTATCTGCTTACAGACACGCACCCGTACATAATGACAGTCTAGAAGCCGTCTCTACTTTATTCTTCGAACAACAAGTTTGACCGTTCACGTCTCGTCTTCATCAAAGTCCAATCATCTGAGACACTTATGTGCCACATGTTTCCTAGTCTGTTTGATCGATTCCATTTTACCATAAAGAACGTTGGGTGTTNGCGGTGTGGTGCTCTAGTCATTGTCACTAGCGTGCTTTGGACACTATGGTTCGAGGTTTGAGCTCCGCTACCGCCACCCCACCGGTGGTAGACAGTTTTGCCGTCGCCCGGTTCTATACCGCGCCTGACCTATCGAGGCCTTATATGGTTCGCCACTCCGAGCCTCGGGGATCAGGTTGCTGGCTATCATTACTCAACAGCAGGTCCTCGTGCCTATGGGGTCCGTCCCGTCTACTATTCATCACACGCTGGTGTGTACTAAAAAAATAACCAATGGAAAACTATTTGATCCTAACACACGTCATCTCACATTATCGTTATTCATGCGATGCTCCCATCATATGCGGGCGATGTTTCGCAGACAACGGTTGTCGAATACGGATATTAGTTGGACATGATCTACTCGAAGAGGCCAAATTTCGCAGCCATAAGCAACACGCGCGCACCGTTGCGCAAAACACACTTTCACTGAAAGAGATATGTCGCGCCGGTGCCAGAGATGAGACAGCGAACGCTAATCTAGCTTTGATTGCGCTTCAAGAGATCTCCCGGCCCACTCCTTCGCCAGCTTTTATTCAACTCCCGAGGTAGACAAAGCTTCCGTCTACTTCCAGGATCTCAGTACCCAACGAAAGTGCAGGAACGGGTTCCTGCCAATCTTGCAACAGCACTGCGCTTTGAATATGCAAAGGACATATCTTAACGAGTAACCTCAATTGCCAAACCATCCAGTGTGTATTAAATCACCGGTGCGCTGTTACCGAGTACGCAATATCATCGGCCTGCTACTTGCCCTCATGAAAGATGGTGGAGAAGTTCTCGCGAGAGAGCTTGTGCAACTGTTCTCGAAGATCTGGGAAACTGTAAGTGTACCCCACACTGGGGAGAATCGATTGTTACACCCACCTACAAGAAGTGGAGTCTTATGTGGTTAGCCACTCCAAGTCCCGGGGTTTAGGTTACCGGTTTCTATCATTGAACAACAGGTCCTGGTAACTATAGGGCTTATCTACTGAACCAACTGAGGTACGAGCTAGGAATCGCCCTGATAGTACAAAAGCGTTATACCAACTGGGCTAACTAGCAGCTGATCAGAAAACTTCAATTTTTCCGTACACATTATTACCATCAACCATGTTAGTCTTGTCACTGGCCTCCGTGAGAAACATTCTGAGTCTGAGTGGTTGTCACAGTGGATTACTTGGACAAGAAAACAAAAAACCTACAGCAAAGCAGAATAAATTGAACAGTATTATTGTGTGTATTCTCTCGCATCACAATTCACTGACCAAGAATGCACTAACAAGGATGAACAAAGACCGGAATTAAGAAAGAACTACTGTGAGTTAAATGCGAATAACCAATCCAGCCTTGTAGGTCCGTTGGTAAATTAGCCCGTAACCTGCATGGATGACCTGACTTGGTAAGAGGCTTTCGATTGGAGTTAATAGATAGCCATCTGTATATCCCTTCGTTGCTATCGGGCCAAATGAACTGATTGGTTATTACTGAAGACGACACCTGAACTGGCAATTTGCTATGAGCTGGTTGGCACAGTAGTATCGCACTCGCCTTCCATGCTTGACGGGTCCGGAGTTCAAATCCCGGACGGTGGACAGTGGATATGCACTACTGACGATGAGCTTTAATGAGAGCGAAACTCGAGTCTAGTGCTTCCACGAGTGTGTGATTGACTGGATGAACTGACGATTGTGCGTGAAGGCGAAGTCCGGAGGATAGTCAGTTCAAATCAATCAAAAAAAAAGCAAAGTGTCACAGAAAGATTGATTGCTCTTCAGTACAGCAAATCTGAACGCAAACGATTTTGTTTAATTTACTCGTTCCCTGATTTTTACGAGTCTCTAGTGAACAAGACCGTCAAGAGGTTTAACAGATTTCAGGGGCTTTGTTGACATGAATGAAGATATAACTGATCGGAACTGACCATCTTTCTGGAACTTCACCTTCACGCACAAACCTCAGCTTTTCTAGGCAACCGTACGCTCTTGGGAGAACTCGACTCGAGTTTCACTCAGATTAGAAATTATCATCAGTCCCACTGTCCGGGCTTTGACCCATCGAACCCATCTGGCATTGAAGGTGAGTGTGTTGCCATTGTGCCAACCAGCTCATACCAAGGGGTTGAACCGAATGGGCAAATATTTAGTTATTACCTTACAAGACACATACGGTTGAGGGCCTTACCTTATAGTTCCTTAGACTGCTTATCATTATATCTATACGTATATACGTAATTTCCGAGCGTACTCGATATCAGGGACTCGATATCCGTGATGTTACTGGCACACGTTTTCTAGTTTTCCATTCACTCTGATAATCATTGTCAAAGCATTACTGGTGCATACAATTTACGAATATTTCCGAGAGAAACAATAGCACGTGACTTACCGATCGAAGTGAGCAGATTGGAACGCATGTCTAACCGCTGCAGTGTACGATATGGGCCACCCAAATGGTCAAATTGTTCAAAACAGTTAAACGACACGTCTAGGTGAACCAGTCGTGGAAATGTATGTTCACTGCAGTCCAGATAACTCAAAGAGTTGTGCTAAAAGAGAAGAGAATAAAAATGGAGAAAGAAAGCTGTGGAAAACCGGAACCGTTTGATTGAAATAATACACAGGACAGCGAGAACGGAAGAATCATTATGGTTTTGAAATACCTTCAAACACTACATCAAAAATGCAGAAAGAAGACAAATCTATCGAAATGTGTTAGCATCGTTGACTTAAAACAAACGAGCACATATATATATATATATATATATATATATATATTGGGTTGATCAATTATGGTGAATAAAAGTGCACACGCATATAAGGATNTAAATACAGAAGTAGAAGATCAACTCCGCGGTAAGTGGTCGGGTGATGTAATCAAATAGGCAACGCTTCAATAATTGCGATTACACCGCAGTCTAACTATTATTAGTCGCGTTTCTTCTCTTCCTGTGAATGAGTTAGCTGTGAAACTTTCACAGTATCTATCATACAACTTCCGGTGTGAAATTCTGGAGAGGATTCTCACAGATCCTGACCATTCATTGCACGCAGAACTGACACGTTGTCGTTTTCATCCCTCCACACACTCTCAATTCCGCCAAATTTCATCTCGCATTAATGCTTGCCGAAATTCATCTATACCCTCCCTATCTTGCACGTTTGCTCACAAACAAAAAGAAGGTAACACGTGAACTTTGTTATATTTTTTGACTAGGAAATGTCCGTAAACATTTTTTCCCCGTTGAATATATTCCCTGTGACGGTTGGCGTATGCATAGTGGCTTTTNAGTGGCTTTTTAAATGAAATGTAAGCTTCGGTGCTGGGAAAAAGTTATACAATATACAATGTGTGGTCTATGACGTAGTCACATAAGGCCTAGCTAGCATGAATGCGACAGATCGGATAACCCCAAGGTTTCTTCAGAAGCTCGGAAACGGGTGCATATGTCGGGCAACAAAACCCTCATGTGTTTTGGTATTCTGAATTGAACAACACATTGCCAGCTCGTTGTATCAGTCCACGTTCAACTTACACTCAAATTAAGCCACTCCAGCCCGGGGAGCGGATCGATTGCGCGGAACGTGTCCACATTAGATAGATCACATCGAGTCAGACAGAGCACTCTCAACCGGTCCAACCGAACGGAACAGGCAGTGCTGAACACCAGGGGGAGCGAAATTCGATGCGCACACATGGCGTATATAGGTGGACTGGTCTGTTCCTGGAGAGGAAGAGAGATAGAAAATGGAGCAGGGGACAGAAATGACTACCCAAAAGGTCATGTGACTCGGGCGGGGGGGGGAGGGGGGTTGACATAAAGATAAGCATCAGAGAGATGGACATTATTTCGTCATCTTGCTATTCGCATCCGGTTCGGTTTAGTTTCATCGGGTAATCTGCATCTCCTGGAAGTTTACTGGCACTCAAAGATGAAATCAAAAGCCAATCGTCCGAATATACCATCATTACACATTGTAAGATCAACACAGTAGTGAACAAGCTTGTTGGCGGTGATTCATCTACAGGCTGATATATCACAATTTTTATCACTGTTTAGTAGGGGAAGAGAAATAATCAACATTCCAGTTCCATCACCGGATCTTACTCACACCTTGATTGTCACACGTGCGCTCTGGTTCGAATCATTAGGGGTGGTTGGGGGATGGCTTTGTTGTTAGTGGTGTTGACCATGGAAGGCCGAGTGTTCTTACGACTTCATTTTTTAGAGCATAGGAGAAGGGTATGTAGACGGATTCCGATCGCTTCAGCTGTGGCCAGAATATGACTTCTAATCCTCTTAGATCGACGGCGGCCAACTAAGTCGAAGGGCCAAAACGCCTCGGCCACATTAACCACGTGGTTTCATTCCACTGGGTAAGAAACGATCGAACGGTTGATACTCCTAACTAATCACCCCATTATTTACTCAGGTCAGGTGTTGATCGCGAACTTGTTCAGATAAACGTTCACTCGTGTAGCCGATATAATTCATCCTACTAGTACACACAGAAGGAGACCACATAAACAGCCAAGTTATTTTTGAGTAGAAAGCGCCAAAGTAGCCTGGAGATGCACACAATTCGAAGTTTCGCTGCGAGAAATGCTTTTGCCATAGCTATATTCAGTTTACGTATCACCATTTGGGCAGTTGTGTCGCACTTAAAAGGTAGTGATATGTAAACTGGGTTCTTCTCAACGATAGTTATCATATTTGAGAACCAATGGCGCCTCAAAATGCTGTCCACAAAACGTTCTGTGTATTCATTATGAAGGAGATTCAAATAATCCAATCTTGCTCTGAATAGTTTACGGGGAATTTGAACTAATTCTCGTTTTTATCTCATACAAACTGAATTCGTGTTCTTATTGTTCACCTCCTTCCTTGTGGATACATGTGCTGACACAGAGTTCGTCATCGGGGATGCATTTCAGTTGACTTCACGTACACACTGAGCTTTTGAAACTCTACAGCCAGATTTTAAACTTGTGAGTGAACAGTTCGGATCATGTCGTGACTAAAAAGCGATTGAGGTTGCTCGATTCGTAATGTGATTCTCAATCGGCGTTCATGCACAAACACAGTTCCATACGCTCAAACCATTTGGTGAAACAGTTCGTCCATGCCGAAGCGGGTAACCTCTCGACCAGTTCAGTAAAGCCGCCACAGCTACAGCTGTTGATGACTCGTATCGGATTCCATGCATCATTCCGTAAGCCACTCAAATACATGCGTCATCACTAAATGCAACTAGGAAATGATCAACACTCGGCATCTGCTGCTTTAAAGCCACGTTTTTAATCGCAGAAAATCGTCGGCCTCCAGTGACATCGACCGAGTTCCATCCTTAGGACAGTTGAAGTATATAGCGGTGACCCTCGTATGATTTGTGATCTGTAATCTTGGCTGTGTTGATATTTAGTTCTGTGTGAGTTGCAATCACTGAACAATAGTTTCACAATAAATTGCAGTTCACGTTTTCCTTATCCGATCATCTACACTTAGTACTCGTGTACACTGCTTATCTGGAAACTTTTCGCTGATCCCTCGTATAATTATGTAATGCTTAGATGATAAACAAGACCGTGATGATGTTTGTGATAACCGACAAAGAGCGCTTGGCAGCTATTTCGTCCTGTTTTGGACTCGTCAGCAGTGCGCATTTTTTGTGTCCCTGTCAGGACTCGAACAGCTACACGGTAGACGGTTATCATTTTGTGCGAATAGTTCAATCAATTTAGAGTATCAAAGTTGGATTAGCCCATTCGATTGTTCAGAGGCACCAGGCACTCTTGATCTCAAGGAATCAAGGAATTTGAATGCATTCAAATAGTGGGGAATTAACGATCTCCCAAGGAGTAAAACCCACACCGAACATCATTAACAGTGCTTGGTGCCTGTGAAAAACCGAATGGGCTAATTCAAACATTCACCATTTAAGATTATAGTTTCGTCAGAAAACTGTTTGAGCGAATGCGTCTCAGAGAGAACAACCGTTTTCGTTGTTTAATAAATATCTTCTTATAACCAACTGTAAGGACAACATGTGCCGGATGTCACATAGCCATTGACCAGGTTCAGGGTTATACGTCTGAGACTGTAAGAATGAGGGTTGGGTCGGTATGTGAAAGTGTGTGAATGTGTTGTTAGTGGATCAGTTAATGTGATCTATTTCCAGTTGGATCAAGTGATACCATTTCTGTTTTACTCTTCCCACTAAGCATTGGAACCAGGCGTTTTCGGTTTACCGGTTTGGGTCTAGCCAGCGAATGACAATGATCTCAGTCAGGGCCAATGCTCTGATTCATCTTCCACCGGTTGGACGGAATGATATAGGTCTGGTTGAAAGTCCTCTCCCGATCAGTGAGTTACTCGGCCGATGATTTATGCAGGGTTACGATGACTATACTACCGGTCCAATCCTGGCTTACTGATCATAATACATTAAAATAAGCTCTTTTTCATGAGACTAAACATCCCCGGAGAACGATCCTGCAACATGGTTTTCATCATCATCGACAGGTGCGCGGCTTCAAATTGCGCCGACTGCATCTGTTTGCAGCTGCTCCTGTGTGTTCAACATGGCGGATCTGTGAATTTTCCCGTCGCCGGTTGTTGTGTTCGGACTAGACGTACGATTGACACGAGCGCTTCCTGCTTAACCCCAAAAATCACAACAGTATGGAGAGAGAACACGACTCAAGACAAAGGTCAAAGTGTATTCAACGATTAGGATTCGATACGGAACTCAAACATACGAGGACGGCACAGTGACGCACCATTCAGATTGCGTCCTTGACATTTCAATTGATCGATCGAACAATCGCTGACTGAATTGTTTTGCTGTCATCTAATCCGGATTGGATTTGCCTCGCGCGTCACAAGCGTGCTTGTAGCGTGACCCGGATGCCTGTGAGGTCTGACGGGTTCTTTGAGCTTCGTCCTAATAGTAAATACCTTTCGTTTGCATGTGAAAAGCTGCTGATGTAGCGAACACTAATCTGAGTTTGTTTGGGGGTAATATTACATTTACAGGTACTTTCGGTAGCTGTTTGTATCTTTTGCTATTCAAGTTGTCTGAATATCATTTCAAGATGTCCGGTTAACATTTCAAGCTGTCTGAGCATTATTTCAAGTTATCTCGCTGACCTCATTGGCGCTGACAAGCACCTCAGCGATGTCTGGGTGACCACCATGCAGCACAGATTTCTCTACCTTAGGTTAAAGCACAGGGGGACGATTGTGAGAGTTACCTCGGTCACACACGCCTCAATTCTCATGACATACATATTGGTTGTTCATCTTGCAAGTACGGGTCTGCGTCTGTGTTTTTGTGTATGTGTCCCCCTCCGCTGATACCAGTGAATCATGTGCAATCAACGTTTACCGCTATCGCACGATGCTGCAAAATAATTCATAAGCTACACCTCAAGCAGTTGCACTGGGACATCAAGTGACCATGCTCAATCGATATACGCATCAATGTTGACCAGATTCAACGAGAGATAGAAAAATGTTTGCTATATGGTGGTCATCCAGACATCGCTTAGAGGCTTGCCAGTGCCGATGAGGTCAACGAGACAGCTTGAAACGATGCTCAAACATCGTGAAATAATATTCATTCAACTTGAATTGGAACAGGTAAAGTATTTTAGTGTTTGAGTCCACCATAAACAAAATCCCTATGCTTGAGATGCTGTAAAATTTGCGCTCAACTTCAGGACAAAAGGAACTAAGGCCAGAGGGTTTACAAGACATTTTTATGCATAATTCTTCCTTGAGGACGCTAACCAATCGTTTCTTTTTAGGGACTGATTGAATAGCGTCCTCAATAAAGTTTGCTGTGACTATCGTCAATAATAGAATGATAGCGCTTTACCAGATAGAGTCTATCATACATAAATGCCGGATTATGGTCGTTCAGTGACACCAGAAACCTGTTCAACTTGATCACAAGAGCTCACAGAAGTTTTCCAAGAATGGATTTTGCATGCACCGGATTCCTTATCAGTTGTTGAAACCTACCAGAATGACAACCGAAACCTTACATGGAACTTTGGCAAATGCATTTAACTGCCAATACGACTTGACTGTTGCGGAGTTGAAGTGGATGGAAAGTTGAGTAATTCGGAACATTACGTTACCAAATCCTTAGATGCATCAGCGAAATCTGGAAGATGTTTCCTTAGATTTTTCATCGGCGTTTGATTCTGTTCCATGTTCCCTCCTCGTTCGCAGATTGGAATCGTTTGGCTGTCCCAAACATCTACTGGCGTGGCTCGTTGACTAATTCACAATCAGAACTTGGCTGGGTACGAAAACATCAAAACCACTCGTGATCAATCCCGGAGTGCTACAAGGAGCCGAACTCTCTCTGTACTTAATCTCCACCTACATTAGTGACCTGTCAGCGGGTTCTTCAGCGCGATTATTCAAATAATCTGATGACGCAGCGCGTTGCCAAACCATTTTTGTGCCTGAGGACCTTCTGAATTTCTCCAGCAATCTACTGCACATTCACAAATTTTCCGTTTGTTCTTGATTTCTTCGTAATTTATCCAAGTGCTTCCAATGCAATTTTACTTTCCCTAGTTTTATTTATCCCCTTGACCCCTCGGTCATAAACACAGATCCCCTAACTAGAGTAGATTTCGTGAAGTATTTAGGAGTTATAATTGACGCAAACTTACAGTGGTTATCCCATCTTTATAAATCTGTACAGAAACTTCGTGGATTATCTTTAGAACTACGAATAAATATGCAGTTCAACGCCGAACAAAAATTTAATTTCGCTTTTTGTTTCTCAGTGTGTTTTTCCTATTCCCCTATATTGTTCCCCTGGTAGTTTTGGATGATTTACTCAAGAAAAACTTCAAACTTTTTCGTCGAGGTTTATCGATCATCAGTCTTTGATGATCTATCTAAAAAAACTGTGAGAACTTTAATTGTCCACATGTGAGACATTTGCACAGAAAATCCTCTTTGACCCCATTCATCCTTTACATGGCAATCTATCCCAATTCTGCTCTCATTCAACTACGCGTTCTACATATCGATTATTACCCTCTCGTATTAACCTCTGCAGAATTCCTCTGATCCCTATTTCACCAGAATCCTTATAAACCGACCGAGTGTTTCTTCTGAATTTCTCAACAACCTTGGAAGTTAAATTGTTTACTTATATTATTTCCTTTTTTTGATGAAATGTGTAATGTTGGACTGAAATGCGGACATTTAACTGCAAAATTCTATACAAGTAGTTCATTTCGCTAGAATTTTCATTGCCCATAATTACTGATAACGGGTGCCTCGAAACTGAATTTCCCGGATTCCTAGATGGATTTGTTGTGATATATATCAAATGTGTTGGTAAAGTGTACGATATCACTAACCTTGACTTTTTTCGTATCGATCAAATCCGTATTGTACAAACGCATGGTGCTGTCGATCAGTTTGCGTAAATTGGTTTCTTCATGAGGGAACGCAAAGTCTCGAAGAGTAGTCCCTCGTGGTTTTGTTCTACGGTAGGGATGAGCATAGATTTGAAGATATTTTCGCAATGTTTTTGGAATGGCTTTTTTGTTTCATTCAGTCAGAATAGTGCCACGCATAACGTGATTCTCATAGCATTCAGTGATTATTTTAGCAAATCTTCAACCATAAAGTGATTGGATGACAAATTCGTCCTGTAAATGAGGGGTGAACCGAAAAGCTGGGAAGCACTGAACAGCTGTTTCGACCTGGTTGGGTCCGATCAGTGCAGTGCGAATTCATCGAACCCGGGACCTCACAGGTAGTACACAAGAGTGCTACTCACTCGGCCACCGGGCAGCTGAATAGTCCGTTTCTCAGTTGGAATATTTACGATATGGCACAACCCATCTTTGCGAGCTTGTTGTAGGCCAAAGACATCGCTCGTCTCAGCATTAGCACTGAATGGAATGTGGAATGTGATTACTGATTTTTAAGGGATGGTTCTAAAAATATGCAATTCTTCGGCTATTGCAACATTCGAAAGTATTGATTAACGATCAGACAGATTCAGAAAATGAACAGTAGAACTGGGCTTAGAAAAACAAACTTTGCTAACACTTTTCGTTTTTAAATCGTTTCCTCCTCCTTTCAAGTTGGGTATTTTTTAACTATAATGTATGCCTCACAGAAGTTGCTATAATTACAATTCCCACTGCGCGCTGCCTGAAATACAAACATGTCTGATTGAGTCCAAAACAAACACAATGATTTCAAGCATAATAGCCATAAATAATACATTTTCAGAACGAATCAATAAATAATCAACATGATATTTACGTAAATCAAACAGAAAAGTAGTCATTTCGAACGAGGGTGCTGTGATTTCGGGGTCGGGGATGTAATAAAAGAATTAGGAGTACCCCAAAAAGTACAGTACGGGAATCACAGAGAAATTGAAGAGAAGCCGACTGAATAAAAGGACTGCCACAGCATTTCAACCAGTTAGAGTGCAGCACTTGTGAGACCAACCCATAATTCGGTCAGAAAACATTTTGCAGGTTTAGACGTGATGCATTCGTAGGAATAAATCTCCACCCTTGCGATGTTTTTTTATGAGAAATTTGTATAACATAACCTGAATGCTGTGACAAACCTGATTATTTCGTCAGTGATCAAGATGCGAGTCTATTTGTTAATTATCTTCTCATAATTTTGTTACCGTATTCCCGAATTGTTGGAAAACAAAACTAGCATAAACAACAGCATGAGACGTTGACCTCGTTAGTTTGACTTCAATCACGGGATACATCTGTGTTACATTTTGGTTGATGTGAAGTGTTAGTGTATCTTAGTTCAAAATCCCGCACTGATCGACAGGAATGTAATACAGTTTTAAGGAGTGTGGATCACATGAGGGTAACAATACAGAGACTCGGTGTCTACAATTTGCCACGGGATAAAATCATACTCATCTTTTCTCCCTAATATCACGTGCTGGCAAGTAGTGAATGTCCATTGCCTGCCTCGGGGGTAGGGATTTCCGCTCTCAATCCGAGGGTTCACTGGCGGGGATATAGAGATAGTAATCACTGCGAATGTCATTACGATGTTTTTATGACGAGCAGCATATGAATGATTGAAAAAAATTTCCAATAAGCGTAACAGCGGTTTTGTGGCCTTTGCCGCTCATCAGGTATGCATATACGGTGATCTTTTGTCTGATAATTCTAACACTGCTACTCCCGATGTGAAATGGGCAAGGCAAACGTCAGCCGACTGAAAGACAGGGCGGATTTGCGGTGTTTTTATAATGATTAATTTATGAATGACCCAGAAAACCTAAAAGAGAATCATCAAAACAATTTTTCAAAGTTTTTTCGTCTCAAAGTGACTTATCTGAGCTGCAAACGAACCTAGCGTTCCCTGAGACTTCCAATTATCTCCGTCGGCCTATGCCTAGGTCCTCTTCAATTTAACTACTAACAACGTTTCAGTAACATAACTCTGAATGATAAACGGAATCACATCAGACGATCGCATCCACCCTGAACTTGGTGCATTAACACCCCAAAATGAGTTTACACAATTTATAATTAATACCGAAAGAATGAGTGAAAGCTATTTTTTGATGGATCGAAATTCTATTTCTTCCTATTGATAATTCAGTGTTAAGTACACTGTACCATAAGAGAGGTAAGAGCTTACCGAGTCGGACGTTTGGTCATATTTTGCTGTACAAGCTGATTGGCTTTCGCAACCAGATCCGCCCATTTCTGCTGAAGAATCTTCATATTTTCCGATTGAACCGTAAGGGAATTAGCTTAGTTAGTCGCCGAAAAAAATGTGAAGTGAAAAAAACCAGCATTAGTTGGCCATTCGGCGGGGACATGCGGAGAGCGAACATAAAAAAAGTGACTCCGATAGATAGCGAAATCAAACGTGCTGGCTGCTTGATCCCAGAGGATCACAAATTGCACAAATGCTGGGAATATTTTGTTAGGCATGAGTGATATGACTGACTGTTGCAAACAGTGGAGCTCTCGTGCATCTTCTCACGTTCTTTGCAACCTAAGTCTACTGGAATTCGCCTTTTACTTTCTCATCGACTCCATTTCAATTTTTCCAATCTTTCTCCTACTCTTTCATCCAAAGGAGCAGTTATGAGATAAGAACCAAAATCGGGTGCAAGAAAGTGCATGGTAATACATGGTTAGACAGACTGAACCTAGACATGATCAGTGATTATGGTCAATGTCTTCCATCGTCTTCGATAAGTGCATCATTTCTTCTCATGTGGATAGGATCTTTTCAACAAGGGTTCAAAAGATAGACTGCATAGTGGTGGCGCTAACCAATAATTTCCGTCCCGAGCAATAAAAGAAAACAGGGACGCGGGAAGCACGAAACACTAAGGCTTACTTTTTCATACCCCGAGGAGAAGTTATAATCTGTCCACCCGGTCGTTTCTTCCAACCTTATCCGGCTTGTGCAAATAGCGTACGGAAAGACACACCGTGGTCAGGTATAAGCCAACATTACCCAATCAACAAGAGACGGTGTAAATGGATTCCCTAGGTCAGAAGGAAAATGGCAACAACTGATGAAGCCAGACAAACTTTGACGTTGTTCATTCACTGTTCCTGCCGGAGACATAAACAATGTTTCAGAGTCATCCACGGTAGAATATACGAAAGTCGTTGGCTATCCACAGCACAGACTGGTTAGGTATGATGACTATAGAGCACAATATAAGGAACCACCCTTCTGAGGGGATGCCAAGATTCCTGACGGCGAGACAAGTGTCTCAGTTTGGCGAAAGCAAATCTAGGGTTCGCCTTTTGTGCTACGACCTTCTACTCAAACACCGCCTCCAGCAGTGAACAAAGGTACATTAAGCTTTGTACATCTTTAACTGATCCCTACAAGGAATGAGTACAGGCATAAGTTACTGGCATTTTTACACGAAGACCGTGTATCCGGACGATGCAGAGCACATGCCATATATAGATAACTTGCTCATTAAGCTTGTGTATTATCACTTAGCAGGGTGATGCCATTGACATATCTTAAGCCAAACGTATTGCAAACTGGGTAGAGTTCAATAATATAATTTCCAAGACCTCAACAAAAGTGATAAACTTCATTATTATTAATACATAAATTATTCTAGAGGATTTTCAATCACATTGCAATCCCCCCGTCCTGGAAGTAGGAAGTAATTTCACCCATTTACAAAGGCTGTTGTTGTAGCGATCCCGCTAAGTGCCGCAGTGTAACCCTCCCCCCCCCAGGGTAGTCCAAAGTCATGCAATCCATAGTAGCACAGTCCCTGATGGAACACCTAGAGAAGCACAACGTTTTGTCACCGAATCAATATGGATTCCGACAGAATCGATCCTGCGCTACCAATTTGCTCATCGCACGAGAAGAATGGGCAGAAGCAGTTGATGACCGCGATACGGTAGACGGTATCTATCTATAGACTTCTCAAAAGCGTTCGATCGGGTTAACCATGAGATTATACTGCGGAAACTCTATAATTGCGGTATTCGGAGCATGATGCTTGATTGGATCTAAGCGTTTCTCCGACATCGGACCGTATCGGTTCGTGTTTCTGATTCACTTTCCAGTCCTTTGGAGTTCCACAAGGATCTGTGCTTCGCCCGTGACTTTTCCCAACATTCATAAACGACCTACCGAAGGATCTGGGGCCAAAATCATTACTGTTTGCAGATGAAGCCAAAATTTGGAATACAGTGACGCAAACAGCGAACTCACTGGCACTCCACGAAACGTTAAAAGCAGCTCATCTCTGGTCTCTTTTGAACGATATTGAATTCAATGTACCAAAGCGTAAGGTTCTATCTCTACAACACAAGGGACGATTTTCATATTTCCTCGGAAGTGAATAACTGCCACACGCCTCAAATGAGAAGGACCTAGGCACCATCATTCAAGAAAACTTCAGTTGCTCATTCAACTGCGCCAGGGTGTTGAACGCAGCTGTAAAGAATGTTAGTTTGCTTAGGCTGTTCTTTAGCCGATTGGAGTCAGCGCTTTACCCCCGTCTACTACCATCATACATTTGCCCACTCACAGAGTAGGCTATCCAGGCATGGAATACATGACCACAACATGACCGCAAAATGCTGGAGCGTCCATAAAGGATGACCACCAAAATGATTAAGCGGTTGAATCACTATTCATATGCAGAGAGACTGGAGTCGTTTGGGTTATATTCCAATCACTACCGGCGCATCAGAGGAGACATGATTATGATATACCAAATAATGTAAAACCCAAACCATCAGTGTCACTCACCGCTAAAATTATCACCCAACGTTCATTTTAGAGAACATCAGTTCAAACTAGTGGTCTCAGGATGCCGTTTGGAATGCCGGCGTCAGTCATTCGCGGTCAGAGTGTGTTCGATTTAGAACTCTTTCCGACATCATGTCGTCTGTGTGCCAAGCATTGAATCTTTCAAGCGGAGACTCAATGAAGTATTAGTACACCTAACATTCCAACGTAAGTGAAGCTACGTAAAGCAATAGAAGAAGCCCGTATAAAGTGACATTTTACACAGGGAATTGTATGTATCACTGACTTTTAACTACAACACGAACCTATGGGACGGGAAAAGCATGAGCTTGTAAGTTATTTCCATAATAAAACTTTTAAATTTTGAAAATTTAAATGAATTTCCGATGATCTTGCGTCACATGAAACGTTTAGAACTCGTAATGTTCGATGGGTTGCAATCTTGAGTGATCTCTTTTTATTCGTGAAGGGCGGAGGTGTTCAAGCGATATTTTAACCCCAATTTTTCCTCTCCGTTTGTTAGAAATGACAGATATTCGACTGATTGCTTCTATCCTAAGTAAAAGTGGATTGCATAAATATGATGTATTCAATATGAGGAAGTCAAAAAAGAATGAACAGTTCAAGACGTGACTATTTTTAGTGTATGTGCTAATGTAGGTGATGGTGACCCGGTGGTCAAGGACGTGTGTTTTCGAATTCCACTGCCACCACCTGACATTTCGTTGTGTTATACGGCAGCCTGAATGTTGTATTTTTGCATATTTAAAAAAGTAAGGAGGTCCCAGGTTCGCGATCCCCAGTTGAGCAGATGGATTCGCACTGCTAATGAGACCCAATCATCACTACCAGACAGTACATTGACGTGAAATGGGATAGCTTGTGCACCTACCGNTATCAAGCCAGGAGATCCTATCCTACCTGGTAGATTAATGGGTAGAGGTCAGACGAAGTCCAGTCTCCTGGTCTTCCAGGTTGGAGTTTCGACTAGAATTTCCATTTCAGTCGGTAAAAAATGGTTTGAGGAGTAATTGATCTAAGCAAATGAGCCTCCACTTCGTTTCACCCACTGCCTTGCGGCTAGGCTCTTGTTAAAACTAAAGACTTTGGTTGAGAACCCTGATCGTTCTCCTGCTTAGTGGCTAGACACCCTAGCAGTCGATCAAACCCCAATGCATATGCTCTACGAGTTTAGCAGCGATCAGTTAAGTTCGCTTTGATGTATTTCGTTGTACGATGATGACGGCGACGACGAAGACGATGATAATGATGACTCGGATGACTCGGATGATGATGATGATGATGATGATGAAACTCAACCAAGTCGAAGCAGCTGTCTAACTGTGCTTCCTAGCTTTTCAGTTCAGGCTTCATTGGCTCTAAACAAGACGAGTTCCTTCATTGAAATTGAATCAAAGCCTCCATTACTTTCATGTAAAAAGGAAGTGAAAAAAGAAAACGCTAAATAATTATGAATAACAACGATTAAATACCATAGTGTTTCGAGCAGGGATATTTTAACACACTCAGGCTGAAAAGCAGAATAAGTAATGCTCAAGTTTAATGTATGACAAAAAATGTACATTCAATCAACTACTCAGTCTGCTCAGAATTGATTGATCAATGAACAGGCGTGACAAATTGTATTTAATCTAGCACATCCCTAGTCAAATTCAAGCATTATTACTGGACCAGGTTCCACAATGTTGCCTTGTTATAACCCTCAGTTGATCACATTTTCGTATTTAGTTCACAGTTACTTGTGTCCGGAGTTCAAATCCCGGACAGGACAGTGGATATGCACTACTAATGAGCTCTAATAAGAGCGAAACTCGAGTCAAGTGCTTCCGACTGTATGGTTGAATCGATGAGCATATTTTAATAGATTTAACTAATTTTAATTCTCACCTGCACATGATGCATTGTTATTCCGACCAGTGCAAGGGTTCGAACCCCGAGGAGAGTATTGAGTGGTCTGATGAAATGGGCAATGCTCCAACGTCACTCTGGGGTTGATGAGAGGTTGAGTGTTCGAAAGGAAAGAACCGTCTTGAGCTAGATAACATTGTTCGGGTCTGTTAAGGAAAGGAAATAAAAATAGGCTGATGAAAAAGTGAGATAAATCATCCCTTGGCTTATTTGTATTGTATTGTAATTATAACTTCTGTAGGTATAATGACTACATTTCAGTCAAGAGTACACGTTGGAGTCCGTCCGTGAAAACCTGTTCTTTGCTGACTAGACAAGTGCTAAAGAGAGTACCGTAGAGTTATGACATATACATATATACATATACATATATATATATATATATATGTGTGTGTGTGTGTGTGTGTTTACTCAAGAGGGAACACCACGATATTGGGATCTAGTTGACCGGGATGGGAACGACAGGGAGTGAAATCTGTGTGCAGTGTATGTTTGGAACCCATTAGTATCTAGTTTGCAAACTTTTAACACGCGTCGAAAT